CAGGTTTGAGATTTTAGATGCAATAGAAAATAGTAAACCGCGCATTCCTTCTATTGAAGAACCTCCTGAACTTGAGATGAAGATACTTCATACACATTTAAAGTATGCTTATTTAGGGAACTCATCTACACTACCAGTCATCATATCCTCATATTTGACTCAATCAAAAGAAGAAAAATTAATGAAAATTCTAAGAAATTATAAGAAAGTTTTCGGAAAGACCTAAGCAGATATTAAAGAAATTAGTCTTTTAATTTGTATGCATAAGATTCTAATGAAAGATCATAAACCCAGGGCAGATCCTCAATAGAGATTAAATCATATTATGAAAGAAGTTGTTAAAAAGGAGATTAAAGTGGTTAGATGCAGATATTATCTATCTTATTTCTGATAGTGTTTGAGTTAATTCTATACATTATGTTACTAAGAAATGGGGAGTGACAGTAGCTATCAATTAACGGAATGAATGAATTCCTACCAGACAAGTCACTGAGTGGTGAATTTGTATTGATTACAGAAAATTGTATTTAGCCACTAGAAAAGATCACTTTTCTTTACCCTTTTTGGATTAGATGTTAAATAGCTGGTCACCGATATTTTTGCTTTTTAGATGAATATTCTGGATATCATCAAATACTTATAGCTCAGAGGATCAAGAAAAGACTACATTCACAAGTCTTTATGAAACATTTGCTTTTAGAAGAATGTACTTTGAATTATGTAACACACCGTTTTAAAGTTGCATGATTTCTCAGTGTTTGAAACATCATTTAATTCATGTTTAGATCATTTAACAAAAGTGCTAAAACGTTGTGAAGAGACTAATATTGTTCTCAATTGAAAAAAAATATCAATTCATGGAAGCAGAAGAAATTGTTCTGGGACATAAAATATCTAAAAATGCATGGGAGTAGATCCAACAAAGATTCAAGTAATTGCTAAAATACTACCTCCTACTACAGTGAGAGGAGTTGAATGTTTTCTGAGATATGTTGGGTTCTATAGACGTTATATTAAAGAATTCTTAAAAATCATCAAGCCTCTATGTCATTTTTTTAGAAAAAAATGTCTTATTTAATTTTAATCAAGATTGCATGTATGTCTTTAATATATTAAAAGAAAAATTAATCACCGCTCATATTATAGTCTCACCTGACTGGGGGGAGGTCATTTGAGTTGATGTCATGCGAGTGATTATGCTATTGGGGCAGTGTTAGGACAAAAATAAGAAAAATTTTTTAAATTTATATACTATGTCAGTATAACACTTAATGAAGCTCAAATTAATTATACTATGACTGAGAATAAATTATTTTCAAAAGTATATATTTTTGATAAATTTAGATTTTATCTCATTGAAACTAAACGTATTGTTCATACAGATCATTCTGTTATTAGATATCATATGCTAAAGAAAGATGTTAAAACAAGAATAATTAGACGGGTCCTTCTGATACATGAATTCAATTTTGAAGTATAGGAAAGAATTGGATAATCAAACAGCTGACCATTTCTTTAGACTGGAATAAGAAAATTCTTGTAATTATGAAGATAAAATTAATGAAAATTTTCCTGATAAACAATTATAAGTTATTACTAGCTGGCATGTTCTGTGGTATGCTGACATAGTGAATTATATTATTAGTGATATTATACCATATGGATTAATATATTATCGACGAAAAAGTTCATTCATGATGTGAGATCTTACTTTTGGGATGACCCATATTGTTTTAAAAAAATGTAAGGATCAAGTTATCTGAAAATGTGTATCTTTAGAAGAAACCGAGAAAATTATTCAGAAATGTCATGATTCTAAGTTAGGGGGTATTTTGGTGTTGATAGAACTGCATTTAAGATTTTACCAACATATCTAAGAGAGATGAAATGCCCTTAAACTTTAATTTACAGATTGAAATTTTTTATGTATATGGCTTAGATTTTATGGGACCATTTGTACCATCTTTTAGAAATTTATATATTTTAATAGTTATGAATTATGGGTCTGTTTGGGGAAACTGCAGCTTCTCAACTTTTCACCTGCAGCTTAGCTGCCCTAGAAAGCTGCTGCAGGGAAGCTGCTGCGGGGAAGCTGACTGGTTGTTTGTTGCAGCTGTTTGAAAAAACTGTATTACAGCTGTTTCTGGAGAAATGATCATTCTACCCCTGTTTAATAAAGTTGTTTGTAACAGAACTCTGATAGTCATATATTTGATACTTCAGAAGTAAAAATTCAATTCAGAACAGTACAAAAATTTAGATACACGACTGACTTAAGAGTGAGTGCCAAATGTGCTAAAAAAAAGAAAAAAAACTATTATAATCACAAAAACAAGTTAAAATTGCTAAAAAAAGTAATAAATTATAGTTTTTTGCAGACGTGAGGTCGACCTTATGTTTTGATGTGATTATGATTTTTATATGTAAATATCAAAATGTAAGTGTTAAATATGTTAAGTACATAAGAAAATTGTGGTATGTGTAAGAATTTCCCTACCAAATAATAATATCAAGACATTTTTGCTTGTTTAAGAATTATCAGTAAGAAAACACAGCTAGACATCTCCTTTCTTATCCCCTTTTGAGAATGTTCCATTCTACCTTGCCCTTGTCCCTTATCAACATTACAGATAAGGAATCCCAATCTTCATGCCACATCTCAAATCATATTTTAATCATCTAGAGAATATACAATCCAAAAATTTAAAACATAAATGTTTCCCAATATGAAAAATTTTTAACCCGTACCTCTCTATGAAAAAAAAAAGCTGCAGCCGTGAGGTCGACCTTATTGTAAGTAGCTAACTATTAGAGATAAGATTAAATATGTTTGAAAATTTAAAACAAGTCATACGGTTTTGAAGCTATAATAGTTTAGTCGAAGATGTGACTTGTCGGATTTAATCACAGACCGGTGCTGATATCCAACATTTTCTTTGTTCAAATAATTAAACCCATCATAAAGTTGCATTCTATCTTTCAAGTTGGTTTACTACTTTCTGTGACGCGTTTGATTATTCAAACACCTCGAATTTTCAAATTTGTATAGTGTTCAAAAGCCCCGTTTCGAGAAGAACAATAAAACTGACAAATGAAACCCCGACAGGGCAAACAACTATATAAATGGATATTACATGTATGTGCATGTTTGACTATGATGGAGTTGACTATTTATAGTACTAGCGGAGGAATGCTAAGGAACCCATGCATATAAATGGAAAAGAATATTAATATTAAAGTATCTTAATTGATACAATTTTTAGACGGTGCTCATGTGACCGTTATAGAGACTTAGAATGATATAAGAAATGTTATCGATATAGTAAAACATATTGAATATCATGAAATATCATAAGTGAGCATATTCAAAAACTATCAAATATTTTATACTAATTAATTAAAAACATAACTGGCACACATATTATTTTTTCCCCTTGTGCTATTGTAATCTAAGAGCATGAGTATTCACTGACTATAAGCTCGCTATTGTTAAAACTAACATTTCAGGTTTAATTAAATAAATAAAAAGTTGAGTGATAGAAGAGAAAATATTTATAAAAGACACAAACAACCTGTAATGAGATAAATTTAAATGTACTGCTTTAATTTAAGTTTTTAGTGATTTTTTCATTTAATTAGATGTTAGTTTTAGAAAAATAATATAGAGATTTTTTATTTCTCATTGTCCGTCCGCCTGTACCCGCATTGGTTAATTTTAAGCCCCGAGTCGGATCCTGACACCTCACTAGAAGTGAAGTTCACAGAATTGACATTTAGTGATGTTCAAATTGCAAGATCCAATCAAGCATCAAATATCAAAGTTCTAAGGATTTCAAATATCATCCTCAATGATGGGCATACTTATTGCACATCTCAATCAGATGGGTTTATCTGAAATATTAAAGAAATTTCAAATCAAACAATGTTAAAATATTTAAATAAAATTAAAATCATTAAAAGCTAAAGAGCAAAAAAATCATCTATTTTTCGCCATCATCTATTGGGGTGGACAAATTTAATCTTAACCTTAGCTCATAAATAGCTAACGTCATGTCAAGTATATTATAAAATTCAAACTCAAAATAATTATGTGTCAGTAAGGGTGAGGCCCAATTCTGCTCTCTATGTGGTTTTGCAGCCGAAAGATACTACAAAAAGTAGTGACGATTTGAGCTTCCTGACCGGGTGGTTTGCCGCCAAATGGCACAAGTTGTAGCCCATATGCTCCCTAATCCTTTTGATCTAACATTCTTTTCCGAGGGAGGCTGAGTATTTTGAATTTCGGAGCCCACATTACATTACATGATTTAATTACTAGAATAGTATAAATTGATCAGTTTGAGGTTTCTTGATAGAGCGGATTGATGATTTCAGCTTGATTTGTTGGGATATGCTTGTTTAGTAAAAAACAAAAAAAAGTTGGCCGAAAGGAATTTGATGCTAAGGCAAATAAAGAACAATTTTGGCTTAAAGAAATTTATGTTCTCTCTTTCAAATTTATGAGCTTGTTGGATGTTAATTTTTTTTTAATTTGTTGATGGATGTTTGACAATTTATGAGAGAAGTAATCTATGTTTACCAATATGAAGCTTGATTCTCTAATTTGGTGAATTCTTTTTGATATCACCTTTTTATCTACATATTTTCTGATTGGTTTATGAGCCTGATTTTATGATTACAGTGCGAGTTTTGAATGGACAAGTTTTTTTAAGTGCTCCTAAATTTTTTTCATATAAAACTTTTATTTTTGTGATCTTTAAATTATCATTTAGCCTAGAATTTTCATACTTTCGAGTTTTATAAAAAAGGATGGATAGTCATCTAAACTGAGGGACAATAAACTACAAATATTGATTTTGTATGTATGATTCCATGCATTGCATCTTAGAATTGTATGATGAAATCCTAATTCCTAAACATCTTGTGTGAAAATTATACTGAAAATATTTCGACTTAATGTGTAAAACAAGAATTTTGAATTTAAGATGGGTCATGCTTACCCAATGGATGCCATGAAACCTGCAATTGCCATTGAAATGGAACCTGCAAAGGACTTGCTAGGATTGTGAGGCAATTTTTTCTTTCCAAATCGTCTCCCAAACATATCCGCAACTCCTGAAAGCAATACAGTATTAAATGATTCTCCCAAGTCGTAAGTGATTTAAATTTCTTACCATCTCCAGCACACAGATTGCAGATTGCAGCAATAGCAATAGGAGAAGTTCGCCAAAAGATTGTGGTTGATAGTGTAAGGGAGCAAGCATAGCATAGTGGTCCCCTCAAAAGTTCCCTAGAAAGCCGGAAATGAAAATGAAATAAAGATTAGGGGCAGCAAAGCAAGCAGGCAATGCAGAAGGCTTAGGATCTTTATGGGGTGGATACAGCTCTTTAAAAGTTCTTATAAAATTGTTGTTGGGGAAACAGCATTTTTAAAAGCTTCTACGGATACTATAATTTTTTTTTTTTTGTCAAAAAATCAGATAATTTTTCTCATAGTTACCACAATTTAACAGATGTAGTCATAAAAAACAACTCCCAGTCATAAAAATTTTTAGAAAGCTGCAAAAAAAAGTAGCCAAATGGAGCTGTGGTGACGGTCAGAATAGCAAAATAGTGAGAAGGCTGCTCCAAATAGACCATCAATCATCAATTAATAATCGTCTAATCTAACATATTTTGGCCATAATGCATGGATTTCTAAAGGAATTCAAACCTGTAGTCTCCTTTTCTGGTCATTGACTTGACAACTGCTTCATTTTTCCATATTCCAAGCCCCAAGAGCAGCATTCGTATTATGTTGATACCTGGAGCTACAGCTGCAAGAAATGGCGCCAGAGGGCTGGGACTGTGACAGGGAAAAACCTTTAAAGTTACATAAGTGTAAGAGGAGCTCAGCATCTCTGTAACAACTTACCTGAATAGAGGCCAACAAAACATAAACACCAACCCAACACTTATATGCACCAGCTTCCTGATTGTCGTCTACAAGAAAAGAAGGTTAATCATATTGCTTGGTTCATCCATAAAGGCAAATGCTCAAAAGGAAATAAGTGAAAAAAAAAAAAATTATATGGTCAGGAAATTAAAACTTCTACATTCACAGTTAGGGATCCGGTACCTATTACAGTAGATGACACCCTTTAAATACTACACAACAGAGCAGCTATAAAAAGGTAGAAAACTTAGAATTTTAGCACAGAATATACCCCAAAATATTTCATAGGATCTGTTTTTTTGGGTTGGGGCCTTCACCTCAGAGGAGCACTGCTCCGCTGCGACCCTTAAGCCATTCGATGCATGATCCACATAAAAAAAGCGATGGAATTTTATTTAGTTACGATATTTTACCGGGGATTCGGCTCCACAAACCTTCAATAATATCCCACTTAGAATTGTTCATCTTGAATATTCAGAGAAAGAAGAGGAGGAGAATAGAATTGAAAGAAAATCTTATATTATCTTTAACGTTATTATAAGATGTCATACATATAGATTTTACAATGACAAACTTCTTATTTACTGATAAGGTTACAAAGATAATTTAACCATGCTAAACCCATAATATAAAAGCTACATTACAGAGCCCTTTTCACCCTTGCTCAGTTCGACGATCCAGGGAGCGGCTTAGAGGTTGGAGCATGAAGAAGAAGAGATGTCGAGACCTGAAGTTACTACCACACCTTCTGAGGAAAAGTTGAGACCTAAAGCGGCTGCCATAACTTCTAAGAGTCAAATCCTCCACGTAAGTTGTATTACCCCCTTTCAAGTTGAGTATCGGATGTTCGGATGGTCAACTTGCTGGTAAGATCATAATACATTTTTGTTGTAATAGCTTTGGTTAAAATGTCCGTTAGCTGGTCTTCTGTCATTATATGATTGAAAACTATATGTTTGAGTTTGATGTGGTCTCTTATAAAGTGATAATCCACCTCAATATATTTTATTCTCGTGTGGAATATAGAGTTATGAGCAAGAGCTATGCCTGAGAAACTATTACTGTAGAGTGTGGTGGTGGTTACTGGTATGTTGGTAAATTTGTGAAGTAGCATATATAACCAGAGGATCTTTGTAGTTGTAGTCGCAGGAGAGTAATATTATGCTTCTATAGAAGATCTTGCAGCAGTGGTTTGTTTCTTTGTCGTCAAGGAAATTAAATTAGGACCAAGTTAATGCAAAAACTTGTAGTTTATTTTCTATCTTCTTTATCACTAGCCCAAACTACATCCGCAAAAGCTGATAAGAAAAGTAGTCTAGCAGTTAATAGAGAGACATGATTGTAGAGTCGTTAAGGTATCTTAATAGTCTTTTGAGAAGTTAGTAATGGTGTGTGTTTAGATTATGCATATAATGGCTCAATAAATTAATAGTGAATGTTATATCGAGTCGGGTAACGACAAGATATTGTAAAGAAACAATGAGATGTCTATAGTGTTGCAGATTAAAAATAGGTGACAATGAAATAGTACTTTTGTTTGATTGAAGTTGTAAGGGTGTTAAAACAGGTTTCAACTGGCGCATATCTGTTATGGTTAAAATGTCTGAGAGATAATTACTTTGATGTAAAAATTATTCAAATTTTGTTTTATTTATTTGCAAACCAAAAAAATGAGAGAGGTGACCAAGCAGTTATAAATTAAATTGGTTGCTTAATATTTGAATTGAAGTATTTATAGCAGTCAGAGAGTTCTCAGTGATGAGAATATCATCATACACAAGTAGATAAATGCAAGTATTGTTATAATGATAAATAAGTAATGAATTATCGGAAATACTCAGTTTAAATTTTTGTGTATATAAGAAATTAAAAAAACTTGAATACCATTGTCTCAGAATTTGTTTCAGACTGCATATTGTTTTGTTTAACTTACACACATAATGAGAATAACAGGTGTCTATGAAATCAGGAGATTGAGACATATATATTATATCATCTAGTTTGTCCTGTAAAATAGCATCAGATACATCAAGTTGTTTTATATCTCAATATTCAGTAGTAGCTAAAGTAATGAGTATATGACTAGTAGAGAATTTGGTTATAAAACTAAAAGTTTCTTGATAGTCAATACTTTGTTGTTGTTTGAAAACTTGAACTAACGACCGAACTTGGTAATAAAAGATGGATCCATTGATATGTTGTTTGATCTGAAAGGTCCATTTGTAATCTAAAATATTTTGTTGAGAAGAAGATGACACAAGAGTCAATGTCCCCTGTTGTTGAAGGGTCGTGAATTCTTCTGACATAGTCTTTCTCTAATGTGAGTGTTGAAAGTGTTTGTTTGAATCTGATGGATGTGTAGAGAGTATGTGACGTAAAAATATAAATATTTTCTTTTTCTTGTTTGTGTACATGTAATCGTATAATGGGATTTGAGGGATGACTGTGGGAAAAATGTTGAAGTAGGAGGTATAACATGTCGAACAGGAGAGGAAAATGTAGTAACGGTTGTGTTGAGTGGTGTTAGTGATAGAGCAGATGGAAGAACAAAAATTATCTAGGGTGTTTGTAGCAAGTTGGTGTGATGTTAAAGTTTGAGATGAAGTGTTTTAGTAGAGATAGGTATTAGAAAAGAAATGGAGATGGTAAAGTAATTATAGTAATAGATGAGGAAGATTGAGTTTCTTTAAATAGAAGATATAGCTTTCGAAAGTAACATATATGGAGATAATAATATGGTTTTGATGAATATCATAATATTAATATTCTTTATGCAAGTGTTTGTAGCCCACAAATATACAGAGAGATGCCTTGGGACTAAATTTATGATGCATAGATGATGGTTGTCATGGAAAACATGCACAGCCAAAACTCTTTAGATTTTGTATTCAGGAGTTTTTAAAATAAGTTGAAAAGGGGATTTGTTGTAAGTATAATGAGAAGGTAATCTATTAATGAGATACATGGCAGTACGCACAATTTACATCCAAAATTTCGGTGATAAAGAAACTGTGTTGAGAAGGGTTATAGCAGTTTATATAATGTGGAGATTTTTTCTTTCAGTCACCCCAGTTTATTTTGATGTGTATGAACAGCTATATTGGTGTTAAATGTCATGATTTTGTAAGGATGTTTATAGTTAAATAGATGTGTATTCAGCATCTCAATCAGATCTCAAATATTTACTATGTTTATTATGTGATTTACTAGTTATTTATGCAAGTTAATAAAACAAAGTGACACTTAAAATTTAGAGTATAAAGAAAACCATCAGCAAAAACGAGAGTAAGCATCTATAAAAGTAACATAATATTTTGACACATCAAGAGAGAGCTGTGAAAAAAGACCCCAAACATTCGAGTATATCATTTCCAACAATACATACTTAGTAATACTAACAGAAAAAATAGTTTATGGCTTTTATTTTTATAAGATTTATGACATGTTGAAATGCTTTTGTGGATTTATAGGTGAGGACGTTGTTTTGCAATGTGATGAAAGTCTTGGAGGGGAAATGATTAAGTCTGTTATGCCAAGTCATGGGATTGATGATGGACATAAGAGCTGTAAGGAAATATAATTATTTATTAATTTGACCACTAATGATTGGTTTATTTGTGTTGTGATCATAAATAGTAAAACTATTAGCATGAAAAGGAATAGAACAATTATTATCTTGAACAAGTTTAAAGACTGAAAGTAAATTATGAGGGATATGACGAACTCTGAATCTGGATGAAAGAATAACCTTACGATCCGATGTATGAAGGAGAATATTTCCTTTTTGTGAAATTTTTGTTGTTTGCCTATTTACAACCGTGACTAGGTCGGATCTATTGTAAGGTATGAGTTGTTGTATATTTTCAATATATGAAGTTAAATATGTTGTAGCACTAGTATCAAGAACCCAATATTCTTTAGAGTCATTATGATATTGAGAGCAGTAGCTTGAGTAGTGAGAGAGGGTTTGTAGTGAAGATTGGGCATGTGCAAACACTGAGTTGTGAAATGTCCTTTCTTACAGAAAATTTGACACATAATTATTGTTCTGTTTTGATGGGTGCTCTTGTTGTATAAAGAATTGGTATGTTGTGGATTCTTGATGGGAAATTTGGGTTTAGAATGATAATTCTTGGTTTTGTAGGTGAGCAGTGTTGCTGTTTGGGTAAATTTGAGATTTTCATTGGCAAGATTATTTTCCTCTCTATGAATGGAGTTGAAATTTTCTGAAGTGATGGGATTTATGTGTGTACTTATAGCGGTTTTAAGGCCTTGACAACTTGAAGGAAGGTCGTTTAATCTGTATAGAATCATGCCTTCATTATCCACCTTTGATCATGCAATTGCAATATTGTCTACAATGTTTTTGATACTTATAATGTATAGAGTCGTGGTATGAGTCCTCGTGTTGGTATTGTGAAGTTCATTTTTTAGTTGCATAACTCTTGAACGATTTGCTGATTGAAACTTTCTTTCTAATGTGGTCTAAATGTTTGTTGGGATGGTTAAGTGAAGAACATATGATAAAATAGAGGGTGAAATATTTGAAAAGATAGCTGTTGTCAGATTCTGATCAACAAGATAGAGCATGATCTGGATTTTCATTTTGTTCTCCTGTGATGTCTTGCTGAAATCTTGGAGCAGTGAGATAGTATTATCTAAAAAAAATAAAAGTCATTAGCAAAAAAAGATTTTTAAATTTGTACCTTTCATACTACATAATTTTCAAATGTTAATGGTGTATTTGTCATATTCTTGATGTGTGCATCAAAAATTTTAGTGTTGCTGTAATATGTGTTTCTTTCACTCTGTTGAAAGAGTTTTGAGACTGTTGAATGAGGTGAGGAGAGGTAGAGGATGATTAATCCATGGATCTTTGATGTTGTCAAACTAACAGCTCTGATAACATGAAAATTCAAATAAAGAAAAAACGATAACAAAATTGAAATAACAAAATAATATTTTATTATAATTAACATTATTACAGAATGTCCTATATATAGACTTTACAATGACAAACTTGTTATTTACTGATAAGGTTACAAAG